TATTTAGATGCGTACAAAGTGTAATACTAAGGTTTAGATACGAATTATAAAGGCAAAACCACTCAAGCAGATGCAAGAAAGTCAAGTGTTAACTTATATTAATTTTTTTGCACCACTTTGTCGCTAAGACAATTTAGTATCATAGTCACATGCTCTTCGTGACTCAGTGTCACCTTGAGGCTCTTGCAAAAATGAGTCCCAGGTCTGACGATGTTGGTCATATGGCTTGACGAACGAAAGTTCTGTCAGTCTTTGCCTGAAATACCTTTCAAGAGATATCGTTACTTTAATTTTATACAGACTCAACCTTATTGAAATAGAAGAAATTATTCTTCAATACTAAATAAAATAAACTTTTAACCACTTTAGTAAATCACAAATTGTCATAAGCTACACTAAAAGTGTGAGGAAATAGCGCAGCTGATCATTGAATTACAAAGATATGTCGAATTATAGAAACTTTTGTGTATGTTATTAAAGAAAATGTAATTATACATGTTTGTCATGAAATCACTTTTCATATCAGTATTGCCTTCTGCCAAGCATATTATGTGGAAGAGAAATCCCGACTAGACACACTTTAATGGCTGAATTATGTTTTATTTGCAAGAAATTTTCATATCATTTATCTTCCTACATTTACCAATCTATATCTAATTCAAAAAGCCAACTATTTATGGCATTATATTTATACAAAATGTGTCACTTTCTCATTATTCAAAAATATATGAATTTTATATCACTATCATTCGACTATTATTTCTCTTTTTCACATCGTATGCAGGACTATATTTACATCCAAATTTTATGGGCTTTGACAAAATATGAACCTAATTGTATGTATAATAATAATAATAATAATATCAAAGATCTACGAATCTCTTTATTTCATACTGAATTACGAAATGAAAGTCTTCCCAATAAAAACACCACATATGTACGCTTATGTGTGTATGTGTGTACGTGTGTATGTGTCCGTGTGTATCCGCGTGAGTTTGCGTCTATGCGAGCTCATATGAAGA